TGCTGCCCATTACAGGAATGAACATGAATTCCCAGGTCGGCTGATGTCCCATGATGCACCTGGGGTCCTTGGTTGAAGGTGAACGGCAGATCCCAGGTTGGCCGAAGTCTCATAATGCACCTGGATCTTCAGCTACAAAGCGAACAGCAATTCCTAGGTCGGGGCCACAGTCCCACAATGCACCTAGGGAGGTGGGACCAGCGCATGAAAAGATGAGTTCATTTCTGGTGACCGGCACGAGTTGGCCACCCAGTCCGGCCCATCTTCCTTCCACAGGACATGATGGGGGCAAGAGGGGGAGCAATTTGAGTCTGCCCCATGGCAGAAAGGCCCACAGGGACTGCCGGGAAGCATTAGGTGGTGTTGGCCATGGATCTGGATGGGAGGGAGGGGAGGAAGAATTAGTCACATCAGAGCCACTTGGTCTCCCCCAGCTCCCTGCCCCCATCCTGCTTTTATTGGGGAGGCACTCTAGGCCACATCTCTATGGCGAGGGAGAGCTGGAGGACTCTAAATGCAATAGAGCCCTAGGGTAACCATTGGGCCCGCCCACAGCCATAGAGCTTGGGCCAGGGCAATTGGCAGTAGAGTGGGCAGAGTAGCTCTATGTAGGTGGTTGCTCTGGGCCCCGTCTCTATGGTTAAGGAGAGTAGGAGGACTCTAACTGGAATAGAGCATTGGGGTGACCTCGGAGGGGGCAACCTGTAGGCCACCCACAACCATAAAGCAGAACAGCTCATGGAGAGAGCCATGCTACCGTCTCAGGCATTCTAGCCCCGTCTCTATGATCCATGGGATGGGGGACAGAACCGGGCTCCCGGTGGGGGCTCTGTGATAAGGGCGGGGTGGGGGGTTGTTGGAGGGGGAATTCGGAGGGAAGGTGAAGGGGAACAATATGGTGGTGTTATGCAAATAATCTGGTGAATATTAATCAATATGTAAATGAGTGCAGTGCTCATTTGCATAGACCTGTGGTTTCCAGACCTGGCTGAGATGGGGGTCGGGGGTTAGGGATTTGCATCCAGGGAAAGAGGAGATGCTAAGAGCTGCCAGCTGCCACAGATGGAGTGTCTAAGAGGGAGGAGCCCAGGGTAGCCCCATCTTCCCGGCGGTGCAGCCAGGAGGCGCATGGCAGGTGCCTCTGGCTCCCAGCATGGCTTGGCCTTGCCGAGGTGCTTCTGGGGGTGACTTTATCCATGGGCGGGGCAGTTCAGAGCCTTATTGCAGCTCCCCTGTTCCCCAGCCCTGGCCTTACCTCCGCCCAGCCCGGCCTCCCATTCGCTGGCCTCCCTCACTACTTGTTCTGCCGGGCTTTCTCCAGCTTCTTCCGACGGTCTGCGGGGATCTCATCCAGGCTGATACCATGGTTACTTGCCCTGAAGGAGGGGGGCAGAGTGAGTCCTGGCTCCCAGCCCCCGCTGCTCTAACCACCAGCCCCCACTCCCCTCCCAGAGCCAGGGAGAGAACCCAGGAGTCCTGGC